ACAAACTAGAACTATGATCTGTTCCACTTACTAGAATAACACAGACTCATCATTAGAAAGAAAATAGAGCAACCAGCTTCATGTTACAAATATACAAAAATGAAATTGAGATGCAGAGGGGTTAAACGATTTGTTCTTAGACACAACAGTAAGTAGTAAAATCAGAGTTAGAAATAATATCTCTTAATATTCATTTCCAGGATACCTCATTTTCTTTCAGGAAATTTATACAAAAAACTAAATAAAATTGATCATCTGTACACTTTAATAATAACTGATAACATCACAGCCCTCATGGTTTATCCTTTGAGCTCAGAATTTAGATTGACACTTAAGAAACTTAGAAATGTAAACAGGTCAGTTAATAAAAGAAATGAGTAGATAGCAAGGCAGGTTCATGGAGCAAATTAAATTTCTACGTTTCTCAAAAATAAGTACAATAGCAAAATAAAATTGCCATTTGTTTACTAATCATTGCATATTAGTTACTTCTGCATGTATACTTCCTAGTCTTATGATACATGGTCAACTAAAATATGATTATTAATATTTGACAATTTTTGCTTTTTGATCATTGCTAATAATGCTGCTATGAATATTCGTGCTCAAGTATCTATTTGAGTCTCTGTTTTCAGTTATTTTGGGGATGTACCCATAAGTGGAATTGCTGGACCATATGTTAATTCTGAGTTTAATTTCTTTTAGAAACTGCCGTGCTGTTTTCCACAGCAACTGCATTTTACATTCTTACTAGCAGTGCACAAGGGTTCTTATTTCTCCATATTCTACCAATACTTATTATTATTTTTGTAACTATTCTCATGAGTATGAGGGCTTCCCTGGTAACTTTAGGTTTGATCCTTGGGTTGGGAAGATCCCCTGGAGAAGGAAATGGCAACCCACTCTGGTATTCTTGCCTGGTGAATTCAGTGGACATTGAAACCTGGCATGCTACAGTCCATGGGGTTGCAAGAATCGCTTGCCACTGAGTGGCTAATACTTTCTAATGGGTATGACCTGATAGAGTGCCTTAAGAAACTTTGGACGGAGGTTCATAATATTGTATAGGAAGTGGTGATCAAAACCATTTCCAAGAAAAAGAAATGCAAAAAAGGCAAAATGGTTGTCTGAGGAGGACTTACAAATAGCTAAGAAAAGAACAGAAGCAAAAAGCAAAGGAGAAAAGGAAAGGTATACCCATCTGAAGGCAGAGTTCCAAAGAATATCAGGTAGAGATAAGAAAGCCTTCTTAAGTTAACAGTGCTAAGAAATAGAGAAAACAATAGAATGGGAAAGACTAGAGATCTCTTCCAGATGATTAGAGATACTAAGGAAACATTTCATGCAAAGATGGGCACAATAAAGGACAGAAATGGTATAGACCTAACAGAAGCAGAGGATATTAAGAAGAGGTGACAAGAATACACAGAACTATACAAAAAAGATTTTAATGACTTTGGATAACTACGATGGTGTGATCACTCAGGTAGAGCCAGATATCCTGCAGCGCAAAGTCAAGTGGGCCTTGGGAAGCATCATTACAAAGAAAGCTAGTGGAGGTGATGGAATTCCAGCTGAGCTATTTCAAATCCTGAAAGTTGATGCTGTTAAAGTGATGCATTCAGTATGCCAGCAAATTTGGAAAACTCAGCAGTGGCCACAGGACTGGAAAAGGTCAGTTTTCCTTCCAATCCCAAAGAAAGACAATGCCAAAGAATGTTCAAACTACTTCACAGTTGCACTCATTTCACATGCTAGCATGATAACGCTCAAAATCCTTCAAGCTAGGCTTCTACAGTACATGAACTGAGAACTTCCATGTGTATAAGCTGGAATTAGAAAAGGCAGAGGAACCAGAGATCAAATTTCCAACATCTGTTGGATCATAGAAAAAGCAAGAAAGTTCCAGAAAAACGTCTACTTCTGCTTCATTGACTATCCTAAAGCCCTTGATTGTGTGGATCACAACAAACTGTGGAAAATTCTTAAGAGAGATAGGAATACCAGATCACGTTACCTGCCTCCTGAGAAACCTGTTATGCGGATCAAGAAGCAACAGTTAGAACTGGACATGGAACAGCAGACTGGTTCATAATTGGGAAAGTGAAGTGGCTCAGTTGTGTCCGACTCTTTGCAACCCCATGGACTGTATCCTGCCAGGCTCCTCCACCCATGGGATTTTCCAGGCAAGAGTACTGGAGTGGGTTGCCATTTACTTCTTTAAAGAATCTTCCTGACCCAGGGATTGAACCTGGGTCTCTGGCGCTGCAGGCCGATTTTTTGCTGTCTGAGCCACCAGGGAAGCCCTATACATCAAGGCTGCATATTGTCACCCTGCTTATTTAACTTGTATGCAGAGTACATCATGCGAAACGCTGGGCTGGAGGAAGCACAAGCTGGAATCAAGAGTGCCGGGAGAAATATCAATAACCTCAGATATGCAGATGACACCACCCTAATGGCAGAAAGGGAAGAGGAACTAAGGAGCTTCTTGATGAAGGTGAAAGAGGAGAGTGGAAAAAGCTAGCTTAAAACTTAACATTCAGAAAACAAAGATCTTGGCATCCAGTCCCATCACTTCATGGCAGATAGATGGGAAACAATGGAAACAGTGACAGACTTTGTTTTCTTGGGCTTCAAAATCACTGCACACGATGATTATAGTCATGAAATTAAAAGACGCTTTCTCCTTGGAAGAAAAACTATGACAAACTAGATAGTGTATTAAAAAGCAGAGACATCACTTTGCCAAGAAAAGTCCGTCTAGTCATAGCTATGGTTTTTCCAGTAGTCATGTAAAGGTGTGAGAGTTGGATCATAAGGAAGGCTGAGCGTTGAAGAATTGATGCTTTCAAACTGGTGTTGGAGAAGACCCTTGAGAGTCCCTTGAACTGCAAGGAGATTAAACCAGTCAATCCTAAAGAAAATCCATGCTGAATATTCATTGGAAGGACTAATGCTGAAGCTGAAGCTCCAGTGTTTTGGCCACCTGGCACAAAGTTTCAACTCACTGGAAAAGACACTGATGCTGGGAACAATTGAAAGAGGAGAAGGGATCAACAGAAGATGAGTTGGTTGGACGGCATCACCAACTCAATGGACATGAGTTTGAGCAGACTCCGGGAGATAGTGAAGGACAGAGAAGCCTTGCATGCTGCAGTCCATAGGGCTGCAGAGTCAGACACTACTTAGTGCCTGAACAACAAATCCTTAAAGTATGTATACTTTAGAAGTTTTTAAAAATTTATTTCGTGTTTTGACTAATTTACAATAAGATTTTATCATACAATTTAAAATTCTTTAAATCAGTCAAATCTACTGCACAGTTTAAAATTGCACAGTTCATGGATTATAGGTTTAATCTATCTAATTTGCACTATTTTGATCTAATACTTCTGTTCATTAGAGGAATTATGTAGTTTGATTTCCTTGTAATATAGCTACATTTTCTAATACTTCTAATATTTCAAGTTTTCCTGAGTACCCTTTTCATTGCCTCTTTTTTTTTCTTTGCAGTATATGGATTTGGTTAAAAGTATTCAAAATGTGGTTATTGATCTTAGTGATTTCCAGAGTAAATAGATTTCAGAGGTGCTTAATTATACTTCTTTAGTATATTCTTTTGTGTGGATACATTTCTGAGCAGGGTATTTGCAGTGGAAATGAATGGTGTTAATTTGGGAAAATAATGAACCCTTTTTAGAAAATATATGTTCATGAAATAAAACCTTTTGTATTATGAGTCATCTTTATATTGTTAGTAAGTAGATTTTTTTTTATAAAACCATGTAGCTATTGAAAATTAAACATTGGCCTGAAGTTTTGCATCAATTATTGGCGGTTATGTTGTATCGTAAAACAGTTGGACATTACTTAGTGGCTGAACAACAACATCAAAATTATGTTGGTGATTATATTGCATTAAGTGAAATAATTGAATTTGAATACAGTATATTGGGCTGGTTTAGGTCAATTTTATATATTAACTTACTTTCAAAGAAGAAATCTACATAGGATGGCTTAATATTTTGCAAAATTTTAAAAAGCTAAATTGTCACAATCATTGATGGCTATTACATTCATTGGTGTAAACTACAATGTGTACATGAAATTTAAAAATCTGTTAGTAGTAGTAGTATTTGTTAGTCACTTAGTCGTGTCCAACTCTTTGTGATTGCATGGACTGTAGCCCACCAGGCTCCTCTGTCCATAGGATTTTCCAGGCAAGAATACTAGAGTGGGCTGCTATTTCCTCCTCCAGAGGATCTTCCCAACCCAGGGATGGAACACACTTCTCTTACATCTCCTGCATTGGTAGGCATGTTCTTTACCACTAGTGCCATGCTTCTTTGGGTTGAGGGTGAGACCATACTAATGTAAAAGAGTTAGATTCTGTCCTGATTTTATTGCTAACTTAATGTTTCTATTTTAACTATTCAGGCTTTCTTCAATTCTGTGAACGGGATCCAGGATTAAAACAATAATATTAAATGATCATACAAATCATTCCTATTTAAGCTACTTTTGATTTGAAATTAGAGCAAAGAAACTTTTTGTTAATCTTGTGTTAATTGCACAGCTTTTTTTTTATTCCACTAAGAATTTGATTGAGATATTTGTTTCTTTCTGATGGCATCCTTTAGGAATCAGCCTTCTAGAATGGTTGATATAGCTCTGCATTTTTCCTCCTCATAATGACAAACTAGCCAGTGTACATTTATAGAGAGCAGAACAGTTCTTGTTATTGGGGGCCTTCTATGACTGAGAGCCTATAGACTGCCATAAAGTACAGCCTTTTGTGAACTGTCTAGTGAGACTCTGCCAAAATCTCAGCAGACAGAGCTAATTGTGGAGAAAAAGGATTTTTTGTGCCCTCTTTCCTTCTGTTCTTTTTGTTTTATAAGACTGATACTGTTAAAGTAGCTGGTTTATGTAAGATTTGTCTGCCTCTCTTTTCTCATTGCATGGATCATTTTTTAACTTAAAGTCTCGCACTGTAGGTCGTTGAGCACTTCCACATGGAGGCTGGCACAGGACCAAACTCGAGACACGCAACTCATAACAGTTGATGAAAAATTGGTAAGAATTTTCTACTACACACTGTTAGGATTCTGCCTTCAGGGTTATTTTTGTACAACAGATTTTTCAGTATGGTGGTCAGGGTTCTTCTAGGATAGTGATTTCTTGATTGTATATAAATTTTAAGAAGAAATAATCATTATGAAAAGATAATTTGTGTTAAGCATTTTACACAAATATTAAGTCATACACAAACATCAAATTACACTTGATCTTAGCCAAAAGGCCGAGAAGCGATAACAAACATCAAATTAAAATTACAAAAGGCTTCCGTTTTTGTGATGTTTATAAGTAGACACCAGAATTTTTTTTTTTTTGGTTTTGTAATATTATTATTTGTGATTTTCTCAGTTAAATTGTAAGACACACTAGGACCAGCTAAAATTAAGTATATTGGGTTTTTCTGGAACCAATGATTGTTACTGTTACTGTGCATATATGTGTGTATACACACATACACATCCTATTTCTGCATTATGTATGAGTAATTACAACTATCAACAAATGAATAATTTTTTCTGTTAATCAGTAGCAGATTGAATTTTGGTACTCATAGTTTTCTGTATGTGGTGTTACTTTAGATGCAACTTGTTATTATGTTTATATTGTACAACAGTGTACATTTTGTAAAAAGTTTCTAAGACTTCTAGTAAAAACATGCAATTGTATAGATATATTTTTCATTCTGTATTTGGTTTACAATTATCAGATATATGGGTATGTTTCTTAGCTACTCTCCTTCTGATTGTACATTCTTTTGCCACTTCATTTTGAACCTGTATAATAGGTCACATTTAAGTTTCTATTTGCACCTTAAAGATATAAACAGATAAAAAATAAATAGAGAAGTAAATGGACAGTTTGGAAGTCTGCTTATGCTTAAGACTGGTTGGTTTTGTCTTTAAATTTTCTGTTAGATCTGTGTACTGGCCTTGCCATCATCCTAGTTAAGGCTACCATCATTTTTCGCCTGTATTGCTGCGGTGTTTCTTAGTTGATCTCCATAAATACTTTAATCTTCCTCTAATTCATTTCCCACAGGATGACCAGAAGAGTCTTTCTAAAGTGCTGGTTGTGTCATCCTCTCGTCTAAAATTCTCTGGTGTTTCTTACTGACCTGAGAGTAAACATTAAAATCCTATCATGGCCTTAGATTTAACTCCTGCATTTCTAAGTTTATCTTGTATCTCTGTCTTTTATTTAACTCTGTGCTTCAGCCGCACCAAGCCTGGCCCTTCTTCACTGCTTCAGGGCATTCAGATTTCAGTTAATTATGCCTAGCTGCTTTTTACCAATTCACTAGCTCTTCATTCAAGTACCATCTACCTATTCATCAAATGTTAATCAAATATCACTTGCTGGGAATTCTCTGATGGTCCAGTAGTAAAGACTTCAAGCTTCCACTGCAGGGGAGCCCCGGGTTCCATCCATAGTTTGGAGAACTAAGATCTTGCACACTGTGAGGCGTAGTAAAAAAACAAACAAAAACTCCCCAAATATCATTTGCTTAGTCAAGGATAAAAGCAATGAGGCAAATATGTATGTGAGAGGAAGAGGATTTACACATGCCACGTGTTCATTAATTAATGAGAATATACTATTATTATACTTTTTCCAATGACTATCTCTTTTAAACCTCAAGAGATTACTCTCTCATTCCAGTATTATGAGCTTTACTGTCTACAGTAAAGTTTCAAATTTTAGAGTTTGTCAGTAGCGTTTCTTACTAGTTCATAAAATGAGTAAGACCGACAACAATCTGTTGCTCTAAAAAGGTGCTGTGAAGCATACCATAGATATACAAACTGCTTTGAGTTTTGTGTTTTTAATTATATTCCCTAAAATCAGTTGTATACTTTTTAATGAGTTTTGTTCTTCTTTTTAGATTTTCCCCAGCTTTGTTATGTTTTTCTTAAAGTATAGTGGTCAATATATCAATATGATATTCCAGTTGAAATCAATTGAAGTCTTATGTATAATTATTCATAGTTCTTGAATTGATACTTAATATGGAAAACTAAAACCCACAGGTAATTCTCAAACCGAAGTTTTACCCATTCATTTAGCTTTATATTAAAATGGAAGTATTAAGTAATCGAATAGGTAAGGTAGTGCCAATAGGGGTTTTATGTCTTCTTGTTCCTACACACTGTTAAGTGGCAAACATGATAAGTAGCAAAATCATAAGACCAGGGGCTAAAGAGTACATCCAGAAATACTGAGCAGTTGAAGTTGATTATGTTTGCATTTTGAACAAAAACGATTCTAAAAATATGTATCATTAATTATAAAAAATATTTCAAAATGTGAAGTAAATCCTCATGAGTGTCTTAAAAGATGTAGAAAGAAACAGCATTTTAATGTCACTGTTATATAAGGTAAACCCATTTTTTAACAATATACCATTTTTATTACTCAACACTAGACTACTATTGTATTTGTATCTGAAATTAGATAGAAGCTAGAATCTTAATTGGAAGGTAAGGGAAATAGTCATTATTATGATTTCTATTGAATATTGTTACATAATGTATTTTTTAAATTAATATAGGTGATGCTGTTTAAAGCCCAGTGATTAAGCATACAAACTAAACTTAGTTGGGGATCAATTTCAGTGGTTATTCTAGTTTTAGGAAATGTATCTTAAGAATTTAAAACCAAAGGATAACTTCAGATGCTACCTAGTTTGTTACTGCATCAGGTTTTTTTTCATCTAAAAAATTATTTAACCTCTCATGCAAGAGAAATTTTATGTGAGAATTCAATTAATAATAAACGATGAAAGCTGAACTGTTGGAGGCTGAGGATTAAGAGCATGAGGGAAGAAGACCTGCAAGTCTTTCCTTAAGACATCCCCCTCTGGGGACTTCATAGAGGGAGAGTTGGAAAGGTAATTTGGACAGAACGACTGACTCTCATTTTTTTTCATGCTGCTCTTTATGTTACTGATCAGTCATAATTATTAGAAGGCTTTTTCTTATTGAGAAAAATAGTCTTTAAATCAAGATAAAATAATTGTATATTGAAATGCAGGGGGGAAAAAAACCCCTTCATTCATGCCTGTGCCATACTTAAAAATTAACTCAAAGCCCTAGATGTAAACTCATAGTCCAAAATGTAAAACTGAAAATTGTTAAATTTTTAGAACAAAATGTAGGAGAAAATCTTGGTAACTTTGGATTGGATAAATATTTTTTAGCTATAACACTAGAGCATAATTCATTTAAAAAAATTATAGTTAGACTTCCTCACAAATAAAATTTTCAACAAAATTTGAAAGACATTGTTAAAAGAATGGAAATATAAGCCATAGTTTGGGAGAAAATATTTGCAAAACATGTTTCTGATAAAGGAATTGTATCCAGAAAATAAAAACCACTTTAAATAATAAGATATTAACTGAAAAACAAGCAGGCCATACCCAGAAGATATTCAGATGGGATATAAACACATGAAAAGATGCTTAACATCATTAGTGATTATGAAATTGCATATTAAAACTACAGTGAGATACCACTACATACTTATTTGAATGGCTTAAAAAAATTGACCATAACAGGGCTTCCCTGGTGGTACAGTGGATAAGAATCTGCCTGCCAGTGCCAGGGACATGGTTTGATCCCTGGTTTGGGAAGATTGCACATGCCCAGGAGCAACTAAGCTGGTACACCACTACTGAGTCCACTGTTCTAGAGCCCGTATGCTGCAACTACCGAAGCCCATGTGCCTAGAAGCTGTGCTTTGTAACTAGAGAAAGCCCATGCATTGCAAGGAAGACCTGGCACAACCAAAAATAAAATAAACAAGTTATTTAAAAAAATAAACTAACCATACCAGATGCTAATGAGGATACAGAGCTACTAGAACTCTTACAGGAGGAATCCAGAATGGTACAACTGTTAGCTGCTTTGGAAAATAGTGTGGCAGTTTCTTATAAAGTTAAACATATGTTTACCGTATAATCCTGTAGTCTTCACTTCTAAATATTTACCCAAGTGAAATGAAATCTATGTTTACACAAAATCCTGCATGTAAATGTTTTTAATAGCTTTATTAATAATTCCAAAATCTGGAAACAACCTGTCAGTCGATTTATACACACTGATTAGGAACCACCATGGATGAACCTCAAGTGCTTTATGCTGATAAGCCAGACCCAGAGACTTTGTACATCCGGTGTGATTTCATTTATTTGACATTTTAGAATAGGCAAAACTCTCAGGACAGAAAAACTGATCAGTGGTTTTCAGTGTTGGATGTAGGAGGAGTTAACTATAAAGGGCATTAGAAAATTTTAGGGGGTGATCAAACTGTACTGTAGTTTGACTCTGGTGTTCATTTTTTTGGGTCAGAACCAAGGTTGGATTTTACTATTCATAAATTATCAATTTTTTTTAATGGAAAAGATTATTTCCAGATTTGGTGCTAAGATACTTTTTAAAAAAATAATTTTATTCTTTTGACTGTGCTGTGTCTTAGCTGCTGCACAGGCTTCTCTCTAGTTGCAGTGAGCGGGGGCTGCTCTAGCTCCCTAGGGCACGTGGGCTTCAGTCGTGTTGATGTTCCTGGTTCCTGTGCCCTAGAGTGCAGCTTCAGTAGCTGTGGCTCACAGGCTTAGTTGCTCTGAGGCCTGTGGGGTCCTCTGGGACCAGTCATCAAACTGGTGTCTCCTGCATTGGTAGGCAGATTCTTTACCACTGAGCCACTAAGGAAGCCCCAAGCCACTTCTTTATAAATAATATCCAGTGGTTCAAGATATGGCCTAATAGTATACATGGCTTGCCATTTTCTACATGATAGCCTTCTGTATATTTGAAAACAGTTCTTTGGTCTTAAATCAGTGGTTCTCAAAAGAATAGTGGGGTGGGGCTGAGGGAGCACGACTTGTAGAAGGCATACAAAGTCAAACTATTTTCATAATTATACAAAGACTTAATTTGCCCTTTCACTGTGTTGACATTGACACTTGTTATAAAAACAATTGTGCAAAACTGTTCGCA